GGGTTCACGCGGCGAAAGCCACCTTGGCGCGGGGAGCGGGGAGCGTCAGCCGCTCGCGGGGCGCCTGCCAAGGACAACGAATTCCTCGGGAAGGAGCGAATCGGAACCGGCCCAAGCGAGGGAGGCACGAGACTGGAGAGGTCACCATGTGCCCTGGGCCTCCCCGTGGCCCCTCCATCCTGGCCCAGGAGACCCAGTGTCCCGCCGACCCCGGCACAGGCCTGGGCTCCTTGGGCTTGCCCACTCCTGCTGGTCGCTGCCACTCAGAAAGCACAACCTGAAAAGTGAGGTTATGGAAAACTTTATACGTTTTTTTTTTGGAGCCCACGCTCCTCCAGCTCTCTCCTTGTTACAGGTCCTTTTCCTGCAGGAGACGGGCTCCTCGGGGTCTCGGAAGTGAAGCGCTGCTGGGAAGGGGCCATGTTTTCCTTGCTGGGTGTGTGGAGGAATCAAAACCAGGCCCTTCCCCCAGCCCAGCTTACAGGAATTTTGCAGCTGTAATTCCTGACATGTGCTGCTCCAAACATGCCTCCTTCCCCCAAGGTGGGGGCTGCAGGGCCTCGGCGCCTGCAGCTCCCTCCCAGCCCCGGTCCAGGGGATGCCGAGGAGCCAGGGCTGAAGGGGAAGGGCAGAGGGGAGACAGGGCACCAGTCGCGACTGCCGCAGCTCAGGGACACAGTGAGGCAGAGGAGGGACAGGAAATAATGACAGCCTTGAGGAAGAGGGTTCAACAGCCGGAAAACAAAAAAATTAGTAGTGTGAAGCCCAGGAAAAAATATACTTCAGCTGAGCGGCTTTCTGTCCACAGACCTTGGAGCCGTGACAGGATTTAAAAGCTGGAATCTTGAGCTTTAATAGATGCTGAAAAATGCTGACTTAGGAGAGGGCCACAGCACGCCCAGCTTTCGTTTTGCCTTCTCCCTTTTCCAGTTCGCTTCCCGCAGCCCCGCAGGGAGCAGGCACAGAGCAGCTCGCAGCAGCCGCAGTGCTTGGCCATGCGCTGCTGCAGCCTCAGCTCTGCCCTCTCTGCGGCGCAGCTGGGGGTGACGCTACGAAGGATGCTGTCACCTGGAGGACACGGCCTCGGACCTGTAGTGCTGATGTCAGCATTGTCATGTCATGGTGGAAGAGGGCAGAAGTCGTCCTGCCAACCCTCTTGCCTCCGCTGCCTGCTTCCCTTTACCTGTTGCTGGCGAGCAAGCGCAGCTCAAGATGAGATTCAGGCAGTTTTTCACCAGTCAAGCAATTTATTCTCACAGTTGCTGGTTGCATGCGTATCTCTAAAGTCACTGTCGTAGGTGTTGTGTTCAGGCTTTGCAGAAACCAGCCTGGCAAGTGGCACCAGATATGCCTGGGGAGACCATCCCAGCATTTCTGTCTGGTAGGGGAAAATCATTAACTTATTTAGATGAATTACTGGGGCAGGAATCATCTCTCTGATTTCTTCTTGTACCTCACCTGTGGAGTTTCTGGCCTGTGGTTGGTGTTATTCCAAGCCCCCGCAGCACAAAGAACATTAACACACTAAAGATGGGAAAACAGAAGTAGAAATAAATTGCAGGCTCCCCTGAGGACACGAGGTGAAGGGGAGTGTGGCAGACCCAAGGAGGAACCGGGCTCCTCTGCCCTGCGCTCTGGTCAGCCTTTGCTATTTAAGACACACAAGAGCAGAGCGAGGCAGGGGTTAATGACCTTATTCCAAGTGTTTCCTTGCTGGGATGAGGACCACACACACGCCATGGCTATGGACACCTTTGCAGAGAGCACCATCCTCCATCGGAGCCTCATCTTCCCAACAGCTCGGGAGCATCTGTCCTGCCTTTCCCTGCCGTGCTCCAGCACCGCTGTGGAAGAGGTAGCTGCATCACTGCTCTGAAGTCAGACTTTCCGTATTTATCCTTTGCAGAAACGTTTGCATTTTGCTGTGGGGTTGCTCTCGAGCAGAGCATCGCTGTTCAGATATTTGGGATTCTCTGGGCAGTGGTTAGGTATGTGCCATATTCGTTGCATACGTCATCTAATCGCTGGATAGAAACAAAAACCACAGGCTTTATGCAACTCTCCAGCACTATGTGAGTTTTGTGTAATTGCCTCAGACTGAGTGGAAATTATCTGCAAGCCAAAAATCTTTCACTGAAGCAATTAGCAAATCATTTTAAATAACAAATACAATTGGAATCTCATGATCCGTTTGCGGATAGAGCTGAGGGTAAGGGTGAGTTCACTGAATGGGTCCTTTGTTTTCAATCACTTTTTTAGGTTTAGCCAATACACTCTGAGAGCAAGTGCTCTTCTCTGAGTGCACTGACAGTCCTTAAAGTGTATTTTAAAGGCAGGGAAGTTGGAGTAAGGAGAATTTCTAGGTTGCTGCTCACTACCAGGCTGCTAATGCTTTTATTTCCTGCTCTCCTTTAAGAGATCAGGTAACTAAGACCAGGTCACTCTTCCATCTGTGCTTCTTCCTCGTGGGTGTTGCCACAGTACAAAGGGTTCCCATGTATTCTGAGCTCCTTCCTCAGGTATAAGGTATATACTCAGCCCTTTAGTGCCACTGTCAGAGTGGTGCAGGGGCCGTGCTGGGCACAGGGCTTGCCCCAGGGAGAGCACCCCGGTGCGCAGTGTCCCCGTAGCAGGATTGTGTGGCTTTCCAGTGCTGTGAACTGGTGTGGTTAATTGGGTTTGCATTCACTTCCCATCCTTTTCTCCCCTTTTCTTTCCATCTCACTCTTCACTTCTCTAAGATCGGGCTTTCCTCATTCACCCTTCACACCATTTTCTCCCTCCTGTCCTTCTCTTCCATCCTTTGTCTCCCCTCTGCCCGTCTCTCCCATTCACTCATCCCCTCCCTCTCCTTTGCAGGGGCAATGCCACCGAGAGGCTGCGGTTCGAATTAGCCCATGCTGACCCCACAGCGCTGGCCTGGGCACAGCACACTGCAAAGACACTGTTGGCCTCATTTGGGGAGAGCACGGAGCGGCCGAGGATGCCTGCGGAGGGACTGAGGACTCCTGTCTCTACATAAGCGGTGGCTGAAGGAGAGACATGTTGGGACAGTGCCCTTCCAGCTGGCACAACACTCCCTGCACTGAGACAAGCATCGCTAACCATGGCAATAGCTTGGAGGCTTCTCACGTGGACTGTGGTCTTCACAGCGGCTGTGTGCACCTTTTCTGGTTACACGTTCCAGTCACAAGGTAGGGATCGCCATGGGTAGGGGAGCGGGACCCACGCGCCTCTGCTGGCAGAAACCCTTATGCTGGCCCCTGCAGATGTACTGGGATAGTGTTGTGCTGAGGGGGAGGTGGAGACCCCTCGAACTCTGCTCTGCTTGCTGGCCTTTTTTTGCAGGTGTTTTACACTGATCTCCGAAGAAGGGATGTGTTTTGCTCTCCAATGTTACGCTCCGTGACGTTTTGCAAAATTCAGTAGGCTCTGTGTAAGACGAGAGCTACATACAGGCTTAGAAAGCAAAGGAGATGTGGTAGCAACAGAGGAAGCTCCTCTTCCACTCGGGTGGAGCGGCGCATCCTTGGGTGAATAGTGGCTTTGTTGTTACGAGGAGAGTTGTGTGTGTGCAGCCAGTTGGTGTGCTTGCGAGCAGAGCTCTGCGCGTGCGGGGATGGAGGTCTCCGTTTTAGTTTGTACACACGTTCTGTAAGTGCTACCATTAGTTAATGCTCAAACCTGCTCACGTGCAGCCCTGAGGAGAAGACTTGAGTGTACTGGGGGATGGAAAGCTGGGCATGAGCCGGCCGTGTGCGCTGGCAGCCCAGAAAGCCAACCGTGTCCTGGGCTGTATCCAGAGCAGCGTGGGCAGGGGGGCGAGGGAGGGGATTCTGCCCCTGGACTCTGCTCTGGGGAGATCCCACCTGGAGTGCTGCATCCAGCTGTGGGGCCTCAGCATCAGAAGGATATAGACTGGTTGGATTGAGTCCAGAGGGGGCCATGAAGATCCCCCAAGGGCTGGATCTCTTCTGCTATTGGGACAGGCTGGGAGAGTTGGGCTTGTTCAGCCTGGAGAAGAGATGGCTCTGGGGAGACCTTATTGCACCTTCCAGTACCTGAAAGGGGCTACAAGGAAGCTGGGGGGGACTTTTTACAAGGGCCTGTAGTGCCAGGACAAGGGGTAACGGGTTTAAATTGAAAGTGGAGAGGTTTAGATTAGATATCAGGAAGGAATTCTTCCCCAAGAGGGTGGGGAGGCACTGGGACAGGCTGCCCAGAGAAGCTGTGGATGCCCCATCCCTGGATGTCTCCAAGGCCAGGCTGGATGTGGCTTTGAGCCACCTGGTCTAGTAGAAGGTGTACCTTGCCATGGCAGGGGGGGTGGAACTCGATGATCTTTAAGGTCCCTTCCAACCCAAACCATTCTGTGATTCTAGGTGTGAGCACTTTGTACCTGTCTTGAATGTCTGTGTGTTTCTAATGGTCTTGTGCTTAAAGACAGAGCCACACAGGCAAGTTATTGCAAGGAAAGTAGAATGTGGGTCTCCTGTACATAGATTTGTGCTTTTGTATATCATTTTGTTCCAGAATGGGAGTGAAGGGATTGGAAATAGCGGTTGGCTACCTCGTACCCAGCCTAGAGTACAAATACAGCATGGGCAGATAACACAGAGTAGTTAAATTGCTTAATACTAATTTGGCTTTGTGACCATTTCTTAAGAGTTAGTAAGAACACTGCCTTCAGGTACCAGAGGTAAGAAGAAAGAGCTCCGAAGTTAGACACTTACCTGTGCAAGGTGTTAAAACCTCAGCAGCGTACTTACACAGCCATAATCCTGAAATACCACATGTGCCCAGATTATTTGCAGCAGGGCCAGAGCTGACAATGTACCTGGGCTGTGGAGTAATGCAGCGCCATCGGGCTGCAGTTTGATGGCTGTGGGTTGACTCGTGAAGCAGAACTGCACAGAGGAACAAAGGCAGCCGAAAGCCATGCAGCGTCCTGGGCCTGAGCACCGTCTCACTGCTAAACGTGGGGCACTGCCGTGCTGCAGCTTGCACTGGGTGAAACGCGAGGCAGACAGAGCTGCGTGCTCTGCAGGCACTGTGCAACGTGCAAGGTTACACAGGCAGATTTTCTTGAATCCGAAACAAACACGGTTTCTGGTCCTTTTCGCCAAAGCCTCTGGCAATGTCTGGGGTGACTGTTCTGGGCCTCCCGCATCCGTCAGTTCACACCTCCCTCCATCTGCAGCACCGCTTTCACAGCGCAGCGACACTCTGACGAGGACTTTGCTGCCAGATCACCTCCATCCTGACTCACAGCAGCTCAAATCCTCGCTCATGAGTCCCCACATGGTCTGCTAATGCACCTCGGTCTAAACACAAGGCTCACCAAAATTACAGTTAATGCATTTCTGCTCTGCTAGATGCTGGCTTCCCCTGAGCAGGTCTGGAGATGAGTCTCAGCCTGTGATGGTGCTGGGAGCATGGTGCCATGGGAGCACCAAGCTGGTGACTGAGTCCTGTCCCCTCTCCAATACTTGTCCAGTCCCAAGGGTCAACCTGCCCCATGGGCCCCTCTTGCTGTCAGAGAGCTCTTTTAGGCTCCCTGAATCCGGAACAGTTGGCGTCAGGGTATTGATGTTGCTCAACACTTCATCACGCTGCCGAGATAGTAAGTATGTAATCCTCATAACACCCTTTCAAGAGGGTGAAATGCTGTTATCTCCTCTGAGCAATTGGAGGCACGGAGAATAAAGGCCAGCATTTCCGAGAAGCCTCTGATTTTGACCAAGTGACTCACTCCAGTTAGCAGTGGAGCAGGATTCACATGCCCCGTGTGCACTACTCCTGATCAGTGTATTTGTTTTATGCAGAGAAAAGATTAAGGTATCATAGTCATAAGCTGTAATTATCTTTGTGGGAAATAGCAGCCCTGTGTTGAAGGCCTCTTCAAGCCAGCAGAGATGTAACGAGTTTCAGACGTAATGTATACTCTCAGCCTGCAGTTCTTAACAGTGCGCTGAAACGATTGACAAAGAATTCATGACACAGTCACCATTGCTGAATGGTTTTTAATCAAAAGGAAATTTCCTGCTAGTATCTCAGTTTAACTATAGTGATAGATTACGCAGTCCCTCTTTTATAGAACGTTAGGTGAGGATAATATCACTGCTTCCAGCTTACATATAAACCAATGGACTCTTGGAGGATGTAGTGAGATTGCCACAATGCCAGGACAGCCTGAAGCCATGGGATCCCATAGCTGTTTTCCACAGCCATCCCTTAGGAGTCGTGCCTGGACTGCAGCTGGGGCTCCTCTTTGCTCTGCTGACAAGACCAGAGCAAACATCTGCTTCCTTTTCATCCTTTAAGCAACTCTGTAATGAGAGAGGCAGTGGTGAGCATACGGAAGGGAACAAAACCCTCCCTCCTCTGCTTTCACCTTGTGCTTTACCCTCTTGCCTCCCTCGTGCCCTTTCCCTTCCTCTTCTGTCCCTGCCCCTGCAGATGGGTGCTCCCTTTACACCTTTACAGCAAGGTACCTCTCCCGACACCTCATCCCTCCTGCTTCTGAGCTTTTTCGCTTGCTCACTCTGGTTTGTGGTCCTTCAGGGGTGCCCAGTGTCCCACACAGCCACGGGCAGTTTGTCCTGGAGGAAGGCTTTTTATAGCATCTCTTCTGAAGTGGTTTGACAGCTCTTTGGAAACACCAGGCTGCTTATCACCAGTGCTTATCACCCTTCGGATACGGTAGGGGAGTACTGCACGTTTCAGGCAGGGTTCTATTAATACAGCGTGAAGTGGCTGAGAGGTTGGAAGGGCACGTGATGGCTTTTCTGGAAGGAAGGAAGGGCCAAACAGTGCTGCTCTTGCCATTGGGAGCTCCTAGTTTGGCCTGTTGAAAGGGGAGCATGACCAAGGCAGGGATGAAGGGATTAGGGGACATCTGTGATGCTGGGTGGAGTACACAGGATTAGGGAGTAAAGAGACCCTAATCTCTTAGAGCCTGATCTAATTTTTCACATTTTTAGAGGAGAGGAAGGATCCAGCTGTAACACTGGATGAGGACACTGGTTTCTTCCTTGTCTTGAAAATCTCTCTTTCTTTTTTTTCCACTTGTGACATCCCCACTCTAAAGCATCACTTCCTAAAACATTCATGTGATGCAGAGCACTGCTCTTGGATCTTTCTCTCAGTTTCGAGAGTGACATCGCTGAGAGGATGCACAGTGACGGGCACCACAGCAAAAGCAAGCAGGTTCTCACATTCAACCTCACCCCCAGGCTCTGAGCACATTTTTTCCTCCTGGATGTACCTTGCAGGTCAGGATCAGAGACTGCAGCCCAGGGTCCCAGGCCCTTTCTAGCCACTGAGTGCACAAACCACCTTCCGATTCACTATTTTGCAAGCCCACGTGGGCTGCAGAGAGGAAGAAAGAAAAACAAGTCACTTACGATAGCAAATTTTTCCAAGCCTGAGGTCATTACTTAAGTGCAAATAGTCACTCTTGTTTGCCCGGCTGCATCACACGCGAGGCAGTGTGATGAGGAGAAGCCAGAGCACAGGAAGTTAAAAACCTAATAATTATTTCTGGCTTGTCAAGGCAAGGGAAAGGTGCCAGAAGTGCTTATGGTTTGGAAGGATGGGAGCTAACCCCTAAACCCAGCTGGTGGGAAGGACTGTCCCATTACCGGTGGCCAAGGAAACCACTCAGTCAGGCTCCCACACTGGAAAACACACCAGAGGAAAAGGAAACTTTCCAATGCTGCCATGTGGTAGGAGTGTAATTTGGAGTCCAAATCTTTGATGGCTGGGAAGGCTTTGGAGATGGGTGCTGTGGAGCCAGGCAGAATGCAGCCACCCTGGAGAAGCCTGGCCTCTCCTGTTTGCATAGGAAACAACTACAAATAGGATGCAGAAAGCACAGTAAGAATCTTCCAGAGTGAAAAGAGGACAAATCCTCTCCCACCTCCAGCCATGAGGGGTTCAGAAGAACACACTGTGATGGGGGGAGCTATCCTGACCAGTGCATGGCTTTTTACATCTTCTGCTGAAGATGTCAGGCAGCTAGACCTCTGGTCAGATCCAATCTGGCAGCCCCTGGGACATTTTGCTTGCAAAATGAGAAATTTCTGTCGAGGTTGCAGAGTGCCAATTTCTTTGACAGCCAAAAGTGTTGCTTTACCGTATGAGTGCAGGCAGACGTTGTGGACAGTGACATTGTCAGAGCACGTTTCCTAAGTGGTATGAGACAGGCTCAAAAACTCAAGTGCCCTGAGAGAGGGTGTTAAGCCAAGCTGATATGATAAAGAGTACCAAGCTGGTGAGCTGGGAAGGCAGGATGGTGTCATAGATAGAGACCTGACTAGGGAATCGGGATGTCTGACCTCTTCATGCTGTCTTTTCAGCACAGCCTGGGAATTCTGGTTACTCTCTTTCTGATTTTGGTTGCAAGATTGGCATTGCAAAGACATTATGTCTGTTAGGAGGGTGGCCAGTACCTAGTGCACTAAAACAGCTGTGGTCAGGGAGGCTGGTATGGTGCTGTTACGATGTGAGTTGTCAGAGCAGAGTTAGCAGGTCTGCATCTGAAGAACCGTACGGTTCCCTAGTGAGACTGTCTTCTCCTGAGGTGTTGTTGCCCCAAGGCTCGTTCTAGCTCATTTTGAAGAGACCTTATTGCTGCCTGTGTTACTGAAAGGATCTGGGTTAAAATAACCCTCCAAAATGTGGCTCTGCACAACCTGGAGTCCCTCCACCCAGTGGAGGTAGAGAGATGTGGGATAGTCCATGTCCAGAGCCAGAATTTGGGTGCCCTGAATAGCCCCTTGGACCAGTCTGTTTCTGTCCAGCACCTGCAGAGGAAGAAGACTGATTATGTGCCATAGGGTCAAGGCCTGTTGACACCCCAAGGCTCTGTTGGCTGAAGGCATTTGGGGACACCCCAAGGATCCTGCAGCTGGCCAGAGCAGACCCTCTGTGTCTGCTGGCTTGCGCTGGCTGCGGCTCAGTTGTGCTCAGTGCAGCCGGCTCCGCGCTGAAGTCGCTGGGTATTTGACTCTATTTGCAGAATGTCATTCCTCCTGTGTTTGCTTTCCCTCTCCAGAGGAGTTCCTCTCCAGCCTCGATCACTATGAAATTGCGTTCCCCATCCAAGTGGACCAAAATGGGGACTTCCTCACCTTTGACGTGAGAAGCCAGCTGAAGCAACGTCCTCGGCGCAGTCTGGGCTCCTTGCCCTATGAGCCGTCTGAGCAGCAGGTCTTCTACAAAGTCTCTGCCCACCGAACCCAGTTCCTCCTCAACCTGACATTACACTCCAACCTGCTGGCCGAGCACTTCACTGTCGAATACTGGAAGCGAGATGGTGTGGACTGGCAACATGATTTCCATGAGGACTGCCACTATGCGGGCCACTTGCAGGATCAGTACCTGAACTCAAAAGTCGCCATCAGCAACTGCAATGGACTGGTGAGTCTCTCTTTTACCCAGCCAAGGGCAACACTAACAACTAGAGCTGCACATAAAGCAGAGCTGATTGCAGCCTCTTTGATCTTTGCTGTTGAAGTGCAGCCCAGTTTGAGTCCCAGCAGGTGGGTCTGTGGTGGTGGGAAAGGCATGAGGTTGGTGTCTGTCTAGAATGTTGCACAGTGGCATCAAAAGTCAGCTGATGGTGAGGAAGGCCACATCCCTTCATTACCTCTGTAGGGGTTCCTGATCCATGTTTCACCTGTAGTCCAGTTTCTACCAAAGTCAGTGGGCATCTTTTCAATGATTTTAATTGGAATGGGATAATCCAGGCTCTGGACCATTATTATGGCTCTGACAGAACTCTCCCCTCCACTTCCAAGAGCAAAAGATACATCTTGCCTGTGCTAGTGAGGTAGGTGTGCAGAAGGGCAGGAATTTGACAGCACAGTTGGGAATGTCAAAAGTGCATTCAGATCCCTACAACTGCAGATAGATCCTGGGGTTTTCAGTCACTTCTGTCCAGATTTCAGGAGCTAAAAGTGTGACTTCTGAGGGGAAAAACTGAAATAATCGATTTTTCAATAGTAAGAGAGTGGACAAGATGTCATTCCTCAAAACCAGTGAGGTTGCTGGAAAGAGAGTGGGAATGATTGATTTTGCATCTCTTAACAACTAGGACTAGACATCATGGTCTTACACATCGATTAGAAAGCTTAGTGGTGAACATCAGTGGTAAGGATAGCTGAGCCCTGGACTAGATTGCTTGGAGAGTGCGTGACCTCTACATCGTTGGAGATCTTTAAGTGTAGGCTGGGCAAATGCCTCTCAAAAATACTCCAGGTATGATTCATTAGCTCTTCCAGCATTGGGAATAGACTAAGGACTTCCATCCTTTATTTTTCTGCGATTTTCTGATATTTCTGGCTCACAAAGCACATTTCATGACCTGCCAGATGGAGGGATGGAGCAAGCATACCCTGTTAGTGAATCCCAAGGATCATGGCTCCCTCAGAGGGGTAACATGTAGAAAAAGACTCTGTAGGCCAGATTCATATTTATGCTACGGCCCCACCTCTTAGCAGTATTCTGGCAGCGTGGAAGAGCTTCCAAATGGGAATGAATTCACGTTTGATTTATTGCTATTACACTGCCAGAACAGTGCTGTGGGTTATTAACAGAAATGAGAATCTGACTCATTATATCGTAGAGTCTAATGTTTCTATCTCACAGCCAAAAATCAGAGCTGCGTAAACTCTTGGTTCCCTAGTTAGTCCTTTGTTTAAATATGGGAACTCTGCTCAAGTCCTAGACAATTTACTGGTATTCACCAAAGGATCTGAAGGGCGAGTTGGATTCTGCTGGCTCAGAAGGGATCTGGCATTAACCTACCTTCCACTTCAGAGGGCAGCAAGTCCAGGGCAAGCAATAGCCTGGCAGCACTTGTACTGAGATAATTTAGTCTGTGGTCTGTGTTTAGCTCTGGAGGGTTACCAGGGGCTGTCTGGAGAAAAATGCCGCCAGGCACAAAGACAGACAGAGGGTCATCCAACAACCTCTCCCTTTCATGAATTCTGTCCTTCTGCCTTCAAGCACGATGGACATCAGCAAGGATGAGGTGGTCTGGTTAGTGAGGATGATAGGGTCAGGAATTTGGACAAGAGGAATCTGGCATATTTTTAGCTGACAGAGTGGGGGCTGTACTTGCCACCAGAGAAGACCTGTTGCAGAGCTCTGGGTGATCAGTAACAACTGATCCACTCATGCCATCCCCCTGCCGCAGCACACTCCCCTCCAGGCAGTCTGCCTTGGAGAGGCAGGAAGGGACAGAAGAGGGTCTCCACTTGCTGAGATCTCAAGGTTGAGGTTCACGCTGACACATGGTAAGGGGGGACTGTGCGCTGTGACCCATGTTTGCACAGACCGGACTCATTGATGGTGTGAAGGGGGTTGTGTGTAGTGTCATCGAATGGGCAGAAGCAAGGACGAGGTGCCGATTACAGGGTGAGCTGTGCAGGATTACAGGAGGCAAAGGGACAATTGTGTCCAACACAAAGTTGTGGAAACAGGTAACAAGCCCCAAGCCATCGTCCTGTCCTCAAACTCCCACATCCCTAAGCAATTTCTGTGTCTGCAAGGGGTACCGCTGTAAACCGTTTTGCTTTCAAGCACCCACAACATAACGCACACCTTATGGCATCCCAGCTTTGGACTGCCAATATATGGGCACGCTTCCATCGACTCATCTTCCCGGCCACGCATGCTGTCACCCCGGCCTGAGGGCAGGCAGGCAGTGTGGCTCACCCCGTGTGTCTCCCATGGAGGGCACACGGTGCTGCGCTTCAGGCTGAGCCTGGGGAAAGTCACCCAGGCTTAAATTGTGGAAAGCAAAGGGCAAAATGGTCCATTTTCCAAAACACACAGCCACGAGCTGCCAGCAAAGCCAAGCACGAATCAGCTGGAGCCTGCAGGGAGCAGCCTGGGCAGCTTTGCCTCAGCCTGGCCAGGAGCTGAAATCCCTGTCTGAAGCAAAGCCATGTTTCATCCCACTGGCTGCATGAGATCCCAAGGAACTGTGTCCTACCATTAAAAAAATCACAGCACGGAGAAAACAATTTTAGGAGAGAAATGCCACTTGTGCCAGAGTTCATTGGAGGCCATTGTAAAGGCCAGGTTTTCAACCCTGTGTGCCGAAGTTGGGCTTTGACTTGAAAAGCCCTCCCAAACTCAGCATGAACATGACATGCTTGGAGCAGGGCAGATGGCCCCACTGCTGTGACTAACATCGAGCTGCTCATATGTATGTGCAAGGAGGTGAAAGAGCTGAACTGCAGTATGTGGATCTGCTTAAGTGTGGTTATAAGCTAATAGCATAAACCATCCTTGCTCTGCAGATGACCTGGGTGAATCATAGACAGGATATCCAGTTTAGCTCCCCCACAAACCACAGGGATCTCTCTAAGGGCTTCCCGCCGCCCCCTTTCCACAGGCTTCTGTCACGTCCAGCGCCTGGACCTCAGATCTCGGTCTATGGGGTCAGCGATGACGCGGTTTTCAGACTCCTGTGACAGCCAAGCTTCGTTGCCGAAAGGTGCCAGGCGGGCGGTGGAGCCTCCTGCCTCTTGTGCTTAACAGAGGCTCCAGGTTTAAGTAAAAATGGCCCTTTTCTAGCAGTACATGGTTTTCAGGCAGGACGTGCTCTCCCCTCCTGCTGCTCTGCCCCAAGCCGGTGGTGACCTCCTTCTCCCCATCCCACAAAGCCGGCAGCCAGCTGGCTTCGCAGGCCGACACTCGGCTTTCCGCCGGAGCCCTCGCCAGGCTAACCTCACAGTACCTCACTTGTGTTTGAAAAGGTGGAGCTGAGCCAAGAGCAACAGAGCCTGGTGCAGGAGGAAATCCCCCGGCACTCTGGAGATGGGGACTTCGCTGCGCACACACTGCCCCGATTCAGCTTTCAGGGCAGGGAGGGAGAGGGGGAGAGACCTATTACGGAGGCAGTATCCACCCCAGAGAGGCTCTCCCCCACGAACGCCCAGCAATAACGCTGTTATGCAGGTGGTGCCTTCCATGCAAGGACCTCAAGATGTTTTACCGAGACCTGCTTCCCCACTCCCCGTCCTGGCAGAGCAGGGCTCCTGTGCCCTTTGCATAGAGGGGGCTGGTAAAGTGCTGTGACACCCAAAGGACAACAGTGGTGCAGAGCTGATGGCAAGACAGGGTGTCTCTGCACCCAGAGCTATGCTTACACACAGGGAGTGGGAGGACAGCCATGTAACGTGGGTCTTAGACTTTTGGGAGACTTCTTGTCCTGCTTGAGCAGTGTCAGGCGTGTTTCTGTGCCTCTGTTGCTTGCTGGTATCGTTCAGCTGATTGCACACCCACATTGCACACCCACATTTCATGGATTTGGGGGAGATTCAGTGCCAGGACTTGTTATAGCCATGGAGCTTCTACTTGTATTGTGTTGGGCTGCCAGAAACTCTTTAGGCTGCTCAGACCTTTTAGGTGGAGGGGAAGCTTGCTGTCAGGATAGGACCAGCTGCAGAGGAGAGATCTCACAAGCACCCGGTGGGTTTGGCTGCTTGTCCTGCTGGTGTCTGCTCCTGCCCAGTCATCAGCATCCCACAGGTGGGTCCACTGCGGAGAGCAAAGTCTGGGCTCACAGCTGAGGTTCATTCAGTCAAAGAATAAAAGAAGGGAGAGCAACTAAAAACAAATAAGAGAGCAGAAACAAGTTCATATGACTGAGGTGGCCAGTCAGAGGGGTAAAAGGGGCAGTGATACCTACGGCGTACAACCCGGGTTTCAGCCTGCAGAGAAAGGTTGTGACTTCTGCTGACTGCCTCACTGCTAATGGGACTTCAGTTTTTAAAGATTCAGTGCGTTTCTCAAAAGCCTCTGAGCATCTGCACTTCTCTGCGACTCTGTGTCCGAGCTGGTGATAGTGGTCTTGACCTGCTTTTGAAGGTTCTTTGCTGAGGTTGAAAAGTATAGGAGGCAGATCTCACTGCTGAGTTGTGCTGCTGTTCGAAGGTATGGTATTTAGGATCCCACAAACAGCTCTCAATTAGACTGAGTGGGTGGAAGAGGAAACAACTTCTTCATAATTTTGCAAGGAAAGACTGATTTCCAGAGGACTTTAGTGAACACAGATGTCCCAAGGCATCCGCGACCATCTGGTACAGTTTTCTTGGGTCTGTAGGTTCTTATAGTTCAGTGTTTGTGCGTCGAAGGATTCCTTCACATTCTCAGAGGTATTTGTCAGTGCCCAGAAATTCAGTCAAGAATTCAGAAAGCTCATTACAAAAACCTACCAGTATGTCACCCAGTTCTCTCTCTACCTCTTTTATTGCCTTCTGTCTCTTTCCTTCTGCAGCATGGGGTGATTGTTGCAGATGAAGAAGAATATTTCATTGAACCGCTGAGCCCAGGAGCCAATGTCAGCACAGGGAGCGAGGGCAAAGGCAGCCCCCACGTCGTGTACAAGCGATCGTCTCTCCAGTACCCACACATGGATGCAGCCTGCGGCGTGCTAGGTATCTGTACCCACCAACGCATCCTCAGTCCGTCCCAGTGCAGGCTGGGAAGGTCCCAATAGACCAGGCTCTGAAGGTCCACACTGCTTTATGTGGCAAAGAACCAAATTTATCTTCTGCATACAAGAAAGTTTTCTGTATTTACTTTTACCCATGTTAAGGATTTCTGGTGGCCTGGTCTTTGGAAAGCTCTTGTACTCTCTTCATCACAGCAGGGCTTTTAAATTTGTAAATAGAGCGTGGAATAGAAGAGAAAAAACTGCTTCTTATTGTTCTTAAGAAAAATCCTCCCAGATTTGGCCAATTTACAAGGTATTGAGAAATCATAGCTTACGCATGCTCAGCATGTCTTTGGGTTTTAGTCACTGAAGACTGTGTCCACGTTGACATACATCTGCTGCTGTTAGAGACCAGGTGGAGAGATGCCCTGTAGGGTGGGATCTGGGATCTGGCTAGTCACAGTGGGCTCTGGGAGGTGTTTGTAGAGAACGGCTATTGCGCATCTACCCCATTTCTGTGCTTACAGACTTTTGACTTCCTGAAGGACTCACACAGGTTTGCCCTGGCCTCTCCTCACGTGCCTGTGCCCTTCTCATCCTTCATCAGCCTGTGTCCAGAACCTGGCTGAAATCTTGTGAATGTGCCAAGTTTCTCCATCTACCCTAGATGTTGCATGCACGCAGGATGATGCTCCCTCAGTTTACAGAGGCTTTCCCTGGCTCTGTGAGGATGAGAGGACGTGCCATCCCTACAGAGGGGCCAGCTCGCACCTTTTGGATTAGAGTTTGTGGATGCAGAAGCAGACCTGTTCCCAGTTGCTTCTGTCAGGTTTGTGTGTCGCTTCAGGATGTTCATCCAGAGGTGCAGTGGTGACATGACCAGATGAGGAGTCACTGCTGGAAAAGATAGAGCCTCTGGAGGCACCGGCGCACTGCCAGCCTGCTCTAAGCAGACTCTGATTGTCCCCAGACCTGCCAGCATCTCTGGAGACAACCTGTGTTTCCCTGGCCTTTCTTCTCCCGTCCCAGCTCCCAAAGTCATGTTGGACAAAGCACGAGCAGACTCCCCTTCTGCTGACTCTTTGCCACGTTCCCCAGTTTTCAGACAAAAGTTAACCTGTTCCTAATTGCTTCTTGGAAAGCAAAGACCACACAGTGGGAGCCACAGGCCAAATACAGTTCAGAACAACCACAGCATAACTGGCCCCAGCAAAGCCAACCTGTCCTCTTGCCCCACAGACTGGACCAGTCCTGACCTGCCCAGGACAGCTGGGCCCCGAGCTCCCCACAAGCTCCCCCTGATCAGCTGGAGGGGCCAGAGCTGATAGGCTGTGGGGCTGCCTGTGATCTGCCCATCTTCCCAGTCTTGCTGGATGTTTGATGATCTTGGATCAAACATCTTGGATGTTTGATGATCCAGCATCAGAGTAGAGGAGGGGGATTCAGCTGGCTCTTCTCCCAGTCAGCTCTCCTGCCCCGTGGTGGTCTCCAGGCCATGGAGCTGATGGTCCTGCTGGGAACATCTCTAGGGTTGGGTCAGTAGCACTTGAAGCCTGGAGCAAAGGCCTACAAACCTGCTGCTGCTTTGGAGGCTGCAGCCATTTCTGTGGAGTAAAAGCCAAGTCCTAAATTCAGGTCCTGGCAGCAAAAGGAAAGAGGAAATGATCTGCAATGGCTTTATTTTCAGATTATGTCTGTGTAGTTTCTAAATCCACACTGCTCTTCGTAGAATCATAGACTGGTTTGGGTTGGAAGGGACCTTAAAGCTCATCCAGTTCCACCCCACTGCCATGGGCAGGGGCACCTTCCACTAGACCAGGTTGATCAAAGCCTCATCCCTGCAACAGAGGTGTGGGCAGGACCTTGCAGCGTGGAAGCCGTGAAGTGCCTGGGGCTGCCGCAGCAGGACGGCACGCACCTCTGCCCGGGCAGTGGGAGGGCAGGAGGGCAGGCAGGAGGCCAACAGGAGCATGGGGCCAGCCCTGGGAAGAGCTCAGTGGGAAGAGCTCAGCAGATCTGGCCGGTGGCACTGGCAGCATTTGCTGGGTGCACGTGTGATGCATAAAGAGCCTTGCAATGGCCTTTCCTTCCCTGAAACCCAGCTCCTACTGCGCACTCCTCCGTGTACTGCAAAATCGCTGCTGGAGGGCACCAGAAAAATCTCTCTCCCTCCTCAGATGAGAAGCCCTGGAAAGGGAGACACTGGTGGCTGCGGACGCTGAAGCCCTCCCCTCTGAAGCCATCGGGCAACCACAGCCAGCGAGGCCAGCTGCCCCTGAAGAGATCCGTCAGCACGGAGCGCTACGTGGAGACCCTGGTCGTGGCTGACAAAATGATGGTGGGGTACCATGGGCGGCGGGACATAGAGCAGTACATCCTGGCCATCATGAATATTGTAAGTGTTATAACCACATCATGAACCTTGGGGGACCCCAGACACTCACACAGCCAGCAGCAGAGCAAGCAGGAGTAAATCCTATTCATCACCCTGAATGTCGGGGTTTGGTAGAGGGTGCCATGCGCTTTTCTTACAAGACGAGTGGGATGGGAATGCAGGGGGTAAATCAGATCAGTTCCAGGATGGCAGTTGCTTGTCCCCATCCCCAGAGCAAGACGTTTGAGTCAAAAATCCTGACAAGCGGCTGCTGCTCATGAGCAGTGATACTCGGAGCCTGCAAGGACCCTCTGTTGTATAGGGGAGGCACTGTAGGAGAGGTAAACTCTGGCCCGTCTGACCATGTAACAGGCCAGATCTGGACTGGGAGAACAAAGCCCTTTCTTTGAGCAGCATCTCTCGTCTCAAATTAGCATTGCAAATAGGGCCAGCCAAGCTGAGAAACACATGGGAAAGCATAAGGACAGTGAGCTCTCACACTTGGGGGCTGATCAGCATGAGGGGTAGGGAGGAGTACCCCCATTCTTCCATGCCGCGCTGCCCGCGTCTCTGGGTTACTGCAGAAGAGCTTCCTCTGCAGCATCAGATTTGGGTCATTGGATACCAGGCTAGATACATTAACAGCCTGAACTGGCCATGCTGAATCCTCCTGTGAGGTGAGATAGGCTTGGAAGTTATCCATCAAACTGCTGAAAGCCCCTCTGTGATGGTTCTTTGTCCTGTCCTCTGCAGGATCTCTTTTCATGGCTTGCTGTGTTTGCATTTCTAAAGCAGATGCCAGATTTTTAAAACAATACCATTTCTAACTGTTTCATCTGCTGTAAAACACCCATCGTGTGGTGGCAGACTTCTGAGAGATGCTGTGTGCTTCCCTGCTTAATGGGCAGTCAGCAAAGCTTTATCCCATGGCTGTGTAATTCCAGGACCATGGGGTTTCCCCAGCTGAGCTCCAGGTAAGGAGCAGGTGCTGTGGGATGTCGGCTTCACTGCTCAGATCTCCCCAGAAGGAGACACCGAGGTCTGAACACAGTTCAGGAGGCTCTGCAAGCCAGGTGATAACGTGGAGTCCCATACTCCTTTCTGCTTTCTAAAAGGATTGTGTTCAGACCCTGCAGCCCACGCTGACAAAGCAGCCCCATTTCCCACCACCGAGTGTCCAGCACTTGACAGTTCACCTGCCGATTCCACCATCACCCAGCCAGCGAGCTCATTTTTAAGACTCGTCCTTTCTTGTTTCTTGGAGGTCAGGTTGCCAAACTTTTCCAGGACTCGAGTCTGGGCAATATTGTCAATATCCTGGTCACCCGGCTGATCCTTCTCACCGAGGATCAGGTAAGGTGGCTTTGCTGAGCCACTTCACCATGCTTCTGCACTTCCTTTGTGGGTCTGTGTGTTCCTCCTGGATGTCACCCCTGGGAGGTCCCTCCACTGCAGTCTGCTGGGTGCACCACATTCTTTCCATGGCAGCTGGGGACTGGGTTCAGGCTATGGGCTAAGGACACCTCTGGGGTTCTGAGGACTGTTTCTGTGCTAAGGTGGCTTTAGGGAGCTTTAGTCCTCCTAAAGTCTTACTTTTTCATGGCCTCCATGAAAAGGTGGGGACATCTGGACTGGTGTCTGTGCTTTTCTGGCATGGGAATAGGCAGTGCCTTCATATCAGAGCTTTCCTGGGAACATACTGTCATATTGCTTCCGTTCCAGCCCACACTGGAGATTAACCACCACGCCGGGAAATCCCTGGACAGCTTCTGCAAGTGGCAGAAATCCATTGTGAACAGGAATGGCAATGGGAATGCTATCCCTGAGAATGGCATAGCCAACCACGACACTGCGGTGCTGATCACCAGGTAAGGCTGAGCCCAGCCCTGGCAGCACTGTGTGTCCTCTGTGCAGCTCTTCTCTGCCTCTGTCCAGGTGGTTCCTTCGAGACGTCCTTCCCTGGTGCTCCCCAGCAAGCTGTCTGGCAGTGGCTGTCCCTCATGCTGGCCACTTGCCAGTTCCATTGCAGCGATGCAGGTTATTGCAGTTCACCAGTTCCCGTCCTCCAGTGTCTTCCCTCAGCCTTTGTTGTGTGCTCAAGGAGCTTAGTTTGCAGCCGTGGGTGCTTTTATACCAAAAGTCAATGGCGGTGTGCACAGCGGTGTTTGGCACGTGTGGGAACCCGAACTGGAGTCATGGAGCGTTGGGCATCCTACAGAAATGGAGAGCCCCATCTGCCCCTGCTGCAAAAGATAGAGAAGATACAAATGGGGCCTGAGCATCATGGCAACAGCAGAGTACTTCCAGCCCGTACAGGATGTGGCTCACCTCATCTTGCATGTAGGGCTGGACTCTCTCCTTGGTAGCTGAGGAACACCATTGTAGTAGTGACTTCATCCGAACTCCCTTAGGACAAGAGCAGTCCTGCCCTGCCTGTGTCTCTGCACCCCTCTAACAACAGTCTAGGTCAGCAGCTTAACCTGGATGCTGAAGTAGACCTCCAGAGCTGAGCGAAGGGTCTGAACCTTCACATACAGGACAAATAACCCTTGCCAAAATAGATGGGTGCTTGAGCCGGGAGCAGCAGAGGGTACGGGAGGGACAGCTGGAAGGATGGACAAAAGGAAGGATGATTCAGAGACAATGATGGGGACAGTGGAAGGAACAGAGGGGAGGCTGGGGGGACAGAGGATGCTGAGGGGAGAGCTGGAAGGACAGAGAGGGACGAAGGGTGCTGAGAGGCAGCTCTTGGCGGTGCTGCCGGCTGCACCCAGGACACTGGCTCTCCAGTGCCTGCATAGATCCTCTTTGGGCAGAGGGGCAGCAGCCTGGGGAGAAGCCAAAGGCAAACCCAAGATTTGCTTGTGCCTTTTCTGCCCCCCTCTTGTGGAGTGGAAGAAAATCATAAAATGAAAGCGCTGGAGAGGGGAGCCTCCAAGCGGGAGCCAGTTTTGTTGGCATCATGCGCTGCTCTCCTACTCCAGTTCCTGGCAGCAGCAGGAACCGTGTGCAGCCTGGAGGATCCCTCCCAGGGAGCTCATGAGACCTGCGTGGTGCATCCTTCCTGGGGAGTCTGTGAGATGAGAGCCCGCAAGCACCAGAGGAAGAGTGAGCGAAAGGCCCCTCGGACCCAGATTTTCACCCTCCTGGGGCTGCGGCTTCTGCTTTTCCTTCCCTCCCGCCACAATTTTGTATGGACGCAAATGCCGGCTCCAAGTTCTTCAGCCTCCCACCAGATGTTTGAGCTAACCCGAAGCGACTCGCTGGCTACACCAGGCTTGGACAGCACCAGCGCATCCGGCCCCGTCTCTAATAAATTCCCCATCTCCTGATAACATCTTGCTGAGCTTCGGGCTTTTTTCTCTTGCAGGAGCTTGTCAGACCAGAGCCTCTGAAGGCTTTAATGGTATTCACTCAAAACAAAGCAACAAATGTTTTTCACTCACTTGGTTTCCTGCCAGGGGTGAGAGATTTGGACACTTCCAGAGAGCGCCAGGGGCCAAAGGGACAGGAGCCATCACCAGGAACAGTTATGCTTAACCCATCGTGTGCTATCAGCTTGCTTCCTCACCGCTGTCGTCCCTGTTGGCCTGCCAGGGCGAGCGTTATCGGACGGTCCTGCTCGCCATGCAGGTGTCCCCCAAACCCACGCTAGGGTCAGCATCCTTGGTGGTCCAGGCCTAGCTCGCACTCAGGTTGACATGCACCTCGGGGCAAAGGAGCAACACCCCAACCTGGGTCTGTGGTGTCCCAGCCTGACTGCTGCCAGTGTCCCCGCCTGCCCACCCCACACGGATTTCAGTACAAGCCTTGGCCCTTCCAGCCTGCGTTTTACACAGTCCCAAATGGCTGGGAGTCTCACCTTCCAGAGGAGGTGTTTGGACAGAGGCAGGGAGGGCATGTGGTTCGTCTCTGCAATGAAATGATAATATTCACTCTCTGGCCCAAACTGGTCTCTTTTGGAGCTACTGACACATCCCATTGTGAGGGTGCTGCGTTTCAATTTGGAGGAGATTTTACTTTGCCGTCCTCGTTTAGCTTTTCCCTGTATGCAGCTAACTGTGCAAACAGCCCATTCCTTGATGCAATGGCTGGAAGTCGAGGCCAGGAACAGAGGGAAGAGTCATCTTGAATCAACCCATACTGAATTTGTTTGGAAAATTCTCAGTAAAGAACTAAACTGAAAAAAAAAAAGGCAAAAGAAAGTCACTTTAGCATTTTAATGAAACCACAGTGGGTTTTGGCATGGAACATGTTTTCAAATGGAAATGTTTTCCTTATATATAAAATAAGATAATCAGAATTGCATATTTAATTGATATGATTTGTTGCAAGGGACCTGAGTTTACAAACAGGAGGCTGGCCCTGTCCTCTTCCGTCCTGCGATCCCTGAGCCTGGTGCCCCCCAGGAGAGAAATGGCTGGCTCCTGGGAGTGCACCGGGTGCTGGTGAGCCGAGCTGGACCACCCACCCAAACCCAAAGAGCTTCAAGGCTGGATTAGCGTTGTCCCTCCTGATTTACCACGTTTCATCAAAACCAAACCTCTGACCCCACTCAGGACTGCCCCATAGTTAAGAGACAGGAGCTGTTGTTGCACGGCCAGTCTCAGCCTGGGGAAAGTGAGTGTTGTACAGGTCGGATCAGAGGCATCTTACCTGTTACCGTCGGTACTTTCCATTCCAGAAGTCTTGCATGACCCATGGGCTGTTTTGAAGCGTTTTGGATGTGAACACATCAGTAAGATGGAGATGTGCTATTTTGGAACCGCCAAATTTGTAAGTGTTCCTAACGCTGCCTTCTCTTCTTCGCAGATACGACATTTGCATCTACAAGAATAAACCGTGCGGCACCCTGGGTACGTCGGATTTTGCCGCCCCTTTGGCAGCACTTCTCACCAGCACGTGCATCTTTGGGAGCGTGGCGAGGGCGGGCTGTGCCATCCCCCCTTTCCTAGTGAGCAGGCAGAGGGGAAGCACTCGCCCAACGCTGCCCCGAGCACCGGCAGCGGAGCCAGGAACAGGCCGGTTGTTTCCACCCCGGTCGACTGTAGCCTCCTTACTTCTGTAAACACTAAACACAGCAACCCAGAGGACGGATGGGCTCTGGAACGCTTCTCCGTTATATCCCTGGGTCAGGTCCAGCCTGATGATTAAGAACCGTTTGCATCTAGGGCTGGTCCATAGCCTAGTGGAGTATTCCTGGCTTAGCAGAGAGAAATAAGACTTTTTTGTGATGACTATAAAGGGAGTTCTTTATTTAAACTGCTAGACGCAGACAGACCCTGCAGCTCTCTCTGGCTGTAGCTCCTAATTTGTCTTACCCTGGTCTAGACTAAGCAGTCAGGGAGGGATTACTGCTCTGAATCACTGCAGTTAGGAAGAAAAAGTTGGTGGATCTCTGACCTGATGCAGCTGCAGCCGAGGTGCCTGGGAGGGAGGCTGAGGCTGGAGGTGCCGTGACTGCTTGATTCGTTCCTTTTAACAGAGACTCTTCCTTCCCTGGCACCGTGCAGCGGGCACAGCCTGTGCTGGTGGCACAGTGTATGGGGAGAGGGTTGGGGGAATCTGCTGCCACAACTGAGGGCGCATTTCTACACGATCCAGCCCTCCAGATAGAGTCAGGCTGGATTCCTGATCATGGTGGGTGTCAGCCAGAACCAAGCACAGGTGATCAGGCTGGATCCTGGCTTACTCGGTTGTTTAGGATGCTCTGGCCGAGTTCAGATGCCCAAGTGCTGATGCAGCTGATCTCAGGTTCCCCCACAGCAGTGCCCATTGTGACAAGGACTGCTCCCCATCTGCACAGTCTGGGGTTTGGATGTGAAATTCAGAGGATTTTGATCCATTCTTAGAATTTCCAAGCCTGTCATTGTTAAGTTTGTTGACAGTGCTGAGTGACAAGGTGCCCACAGTGCATAAGAGCCATGGGTCCATCCCAAAGCCCAGTGCAACCAGTGGGAAGAAGCTTGTTATTGACAGCAGGCTATGCTCAGTGGTAGTGAGTGTGCAACACATCACTTAGTCCATGCTCAGTGTTTGTGACGCATCACTTAGTCCCCACATACCACCCATGTCCCCTGCAGATGCTTTGTGCTGACCCTATGTGACAGCTCTATCTGGCTTCCCTAGGCCTGGCCCCCGTTGGCGGGATGTGCGAACGAGAACGAAGCTGCAGCATCAACGAGGACATTGGCCTGGCTACAGCCTTCACCATTGCCCACGAGATCGGCCACACGTGAGTACTGTGCCAGAAGAGTCCCTGGAGTGGCTGTCAGGGGGATGGGCCTCTCTTGGTTTGTTCCTGCCAACAGGAGCTGAAAAGTCCTTCCTGTGGATGATCCAGATGTGTTGAAAATGCAGCAGCTGATCATCTGTCTGTCGCCTTGGTGATGCTTTCCAGGTTTGGCATGAATCACGATGGGGTCGGCAACAGCTGTGGCTCTCGTGGGCAAGAAACGGCCAAGCTCATGGCTGCTCACATCACCATGAAGACCAACCCCTTTGTATGGTCCACATGCAGCAGGGATTATATCACCAGCTTCCTGGAGTAAGGAATCCATCTCACCTTGCCCTTCCTTCTACCTCGCAACCAGTGCACACCTCCAACCTCTCACAGTCACTTGTGAGGAGTGGGTAAAGCCAAAGAAAAGCCCCTAAAGCACACAGCTCATGCACCTTCTGTCTTGTCTCCCGGCATCTCATCCTATCCCAAGAGGCACGTGCTTTCCTTCCTTCCTTTAGACTTTCCGATGGTTTGCTTGCCTGCTGAAGATACTAACCCTATCTACCTTGCAGGTGTGAGAGCTTTATTTAGGTTCCCTGCTTCCAGAAACAAATCAATAGCTTCTGGAGGTGTTCGGATGTTTCTGAAGTCCAGCCAGGAATTGCAGATAAGGGTTGGTGTGATGGTGAAGGAGGATCTGGAGACAGGACTGGGTCTGCATGGTATAGGCAGCTTCTCCAGACATGGTGGATGAGAGTTCTCAGTGTGAACAAGCAACGTAGGAGAAAGGGGTTTGGGGTTTTTTTGCAAAGCACCTTTAGGATTCAGGAGAAGCGATTTAGGCTCCTAAATCCCAGAGTTTTGATATTGTCAGCATGCCTCTGCAGCCTGAAAGAGCTCGTTCAGGGTTCATGCAGTCCCGAGGGTTTATATCACAAAACGAGCAGTTAAGATCAATTTTGGTGAGGTTTTTGGCAGGCTATGGGCACTACCTAATAGTACTGTGTAGGGCGTGAGTCACGATTGGAAGAATCAAGCGCATGGGGGGTCACTGTTGAGGGAAGTTGCCAGGGACTCTGAATACCAGACCTCTACCCGTGATGCTGCTGTCGTAATGCTGCGAGAGGAGCAGCAAAGGCAAGCCTCCCCGAGGGGCCGCCACCCCCCGCCCCACTGCCCACAAAGCTTGGCCAAGCCGCGTTGTCCGTCACCAGATCCCACAGCCAGCGGCTCACGTTTGGCCACAGCAAAAACCTGTCCCCCCCTGCTCATGACCCCTGGACGTGCACTGCAGCAAGACACGTTGCTCGGACAGTGCCGGGAAAGCACCGCGGCGGAGGCTGCCTTGTCCTTGGGTAACCCTGAGGCCTCGGCAGGGCTGGCGGAGGGCGACGAGTTCATGCCGGCCCTCTCCACTGTTCGTGCTGGCCACCCCCGCCTGAGCATGGCCCCCGCAGCCTCCGCCGGCATGGGGCCATGGTGTGTGCAAGACCCCGGGATTCTGAGCTAGGGGAGTGGTGACAGGGGTCTTGATTTAGGGAGAGCTTGGAGAGCAGCAAGGGAGGGGGAGGGGAAGGCGTGTTTCTTGCAAAATTTGGATGCTCCTACAAAGCTCTGGCATGCAGGACGGGCTTGGAGTGCAGGGGCGCTCCACGCTCAGCACCTCCGGTTGCTCTCAGCTGCGGCTCTGCAGCCAGGAGGGCAGCCCCTCTGCCTACCCACTGCCCACCCAAGGGTCCTGGGCACCCCTGCATGCTGCCACTCACGGCCCCAGAACCCCTTGGGACAGCCAGGGGCTGGTGATAGCCAGCAAAACCCTCAGATTAAAACTACTAGAGTTGTCTAGGAGCCTGCTTCCCAGCCCCAAGGGCAGGGGTAGAAGAACCTCAGAGCACTTTCTCAGCAGCAGTTTTGCCCAGAGGAGCCCAGTACAGTTGTCCCCCGAGGCAACCAAGCACGAGAGCTCAGCCCTGTGCAGAGCCGGGAATGCCTGCTGCTGGTCCTCTGCTGTGACGCTCTCCTACAAGCCTTTCTGAGCTCTGATTCTCATCTCTTGTTTTCAGCTCCGGGATGGGATTATGCCTGAACAACGCTCCTCCCAAGCAAGACTTCATCTACCCAACGGTGGCTCCAGGACAGGCCTATGATGCAGATGAGCAGTGCCGTTTCCAGTACGGAGTTAAATCTCGCCAGTGTAAATACGGGGTAGAGAGCCTTCCTGCTTTACTATCGGTTCCCAGGGGGTGGAGGCCGGGGGCTACAAGGGCAAAGGGCAGTGGGGCTGTTCCTCTGCTGCCCACATCGCTTTGCTGTCCTGCTTCAAAAGAAGGGCACCGGTATGTTCCCTATGAGCTTTTTGCCTTGCTTCCCTGTGAGAGGACAGAGGAGGTTGTTTCCCATTCACGGAGGTTGACCCCAGCTCAGTTTCAGTCAGATCAGTCCCATGGGAAGAGATCTCCTGCCTCTGCGTGATACCTTGGCTGCTGCTGGTCCCAGGGTTGCAGCTGAACGCCAAGCTGCAGTCCCTCCTCCAGGCTCCCCTCTCAGCGGGGCTTTGTACACAGACATGTTTTTCATAATCCTTACTAGAAGTCTTTATGCTGCTTGCACAAACTTAGGAGGAGAAACGTCTTTCTTCCAGGTGAGGTGGGTTGATGCGCTGTAGGTACATCTGAGGGACAGCTGCTCACCTAAGCCACCCCTGCCATCATGCTGCCACCCCCTAATCCAGGAAAACACTGAAAGGAAAGGTTGTTTTAGGAGAAAAAGAGTCTTCCTAGATCTCAGCCTGATGTTTTGCTGTTTTTAACGGATATTGCCAACTATTTGAGCATAGTGGTGAGGGGGAAGTGCTCTGCACTAAAGGGCTAATTGAACTCTTTAACACATCCACTTTCCTCAGAGACAACAGAGGAGGCAGCAGCGGGGTACACGGGCAGCTGTGTTGTCTGATGGACACACGTGTATGTGTACCCACCCCAGTCCAAGCCCTGGAAAGCTGTGAAGGAGGAATCATCAGATCAGGGTTTAGTTTCTGTTACAACCATGGAAAGGAAGCTTATCCCGAGTAGT